TGCGCGCGCGGGCCGCGGCGGAGAGAGATCATTTTTGCCACGTATTTGCAAACTGAATAATAAATACCGCGGCGATATATACGCGAAGAGCAGCGCGTTCCGCCTTCACGCAGCTCGCGCTTCGCGCGGATTGGTCGCACCGGCCGCGAGGGGACGGCGATATTCATTCGCCGTCTCTCCTCCGCATGTCCGTGGACCTACTTTGGCGCACGCACACACGCGCGGCACGTCACGGGTTGCACGTGCACGGTGAAACCGTCGAGGAGGGGACCGTTTCTGCGCACCCGTTCTGTGTGTGCCCGTGGTATATTCCCGTCTCTCTTTTATCTGTCCTCCTGCACGCGCGCTTCTCTCTCTCTCTCTCTCTCTCTTCCTCGCACTCCCTATATCTCTCCGCTCCCGTCGCGAGAGAAGCGGCGCGTTCGGCTCGAGCGAGTCCGTCTCTTCCCTTGAATCCGCTTCTGCGTCTCTCTTCTTGGTCTTTGCGCTTCTCTCGATTCTTTCTCTGTCTGACTTCCTATCTCGTTGTGCGACTGTCTTTCTCTCTTTCTTTCTCTCTTGCGAAGGCGTTTTCTTGTGTTTTTTTTTTTGTTTGTTTTTGCTATTTTTTAGTTATGTGTAAAGAACAACGGAGCAATTGCGAAATGTGTAATGTCGAATTATGTGTTTCCGGTTTTTTTTTTTCAGAGAGAATTTTTCAGAGAATATGTTGTTTTAGAGTGACACGCTTCTTTTTGTATTTTTAGAAAACACTTTTGAAAAATTTCAAACTGTTGAAAAAGAAAAAAAACGATAGAACAATCGAAAGGATTGATAAAGAGCAGTATACTACTGACTATATATATATCGCAACACATCTCGCGAAGTCTGTTGTAGAGAGAGGGAGAGAGACTTCATTTCGTTTTAGGGATTGTTCAGCCGAATAGCATAAATATTTATGCGCATACGCAAGCATTACGCGCTTGCCAGCGCATTAACGAGCACAATGCACTTATATCGTTTCATATACATACCGAGCGCTCAGGTGAGTGACGGCCGTCCGAGCGTGATGTTTTCCTTAGTTTATATACTTTGCGGTTCTTCGGATGTCGCTTTCTTCCGTTTATCCGTTTGCTCTCGATCCGTTTTGCGTTTTCATATATTTTTTCAGAACACACATAGCATAATAAAATATATATACGGGGTGTGTCTGATAAACGATATTATCTGCACCGAAGCAGCGATCTTCGTTGAATAATCAAGTAAGAAAAGTAAACATATATTGTTTCTTTTCATAAAAAAACCGGTTCATTTATATTTACATTTTATATCTTTAACAAAAATATTACATCGGGAAACAGATATTCTTTGTATATCGAGAATAGATGATCTTCGCGATAGTTCAATTTATTAAGTAAAAACAAATTAACATGAGAGAATTTTTTCGATGATTTATAATTCGTGTTCACGTCACACACAAGTCAGGCGAGACAGCTGGCTACGTCATCGAGATCGGTATCAATCGTATTATCGAAAGGGCAAAGCCGGTAAGTCGAACGAGTTAGCGGCTCGACCGTGCTATGCCCTCTCCGACTCGGCTTTATAATCTTTTAAATATTCAGTTTTGAACGCTCGAACATTCACTAAAGCGTATCGATCGCCACGCTAGACAATTCCACGTGTTCCAGGTTACGCGAAGACAACTGCGCATTTTTCGGATCGTCGTTACGCAATTCGATTTTTTTCCCACTCCGTCGACTCGCGATAAATCTCTCGGAACCAGACCGCCCAAAAATGATACGTGTGTGTGTGTGTGTGTGTCACTTGATTTTAATATTTCTCTTTATCGTACAATTTAAATGACATTTTGTTATTATGTTGAGATAATTACGTTATCTCGATTTAAAACGGTTACCGTATTTTTGCCGGACGAATCCTATGCTTAAGGAGAAACACGCACCGAAAGAGAAAAAAACTTATTTACGCGCGCGCGCGCGCGTCAATATACGACGCGTAATTTTGCGCGCACGGAATAATTAACGCATAGTCCCCTCTATGACGAGCGCTACTCGCTTCGCTATACGGGAATGAGGTTCGACGACGTAACGAAGCGTCTGATGTTAACGAAGCGTTAAAACGAAGCAGGTGCGTCGCATTAATGTAGAGACCAAAACAACGCATATAAAAGATCGCACAATCACAAAAGGTCGTATTAATAATCATAATAATACGAAAAATTATGCGATTTTTACACGGGAATAAGCGGCATAAAAGCCCCGGCTTCGGCGCGTCGTTTATATTTAGACGCGCGCGCTTAGAGTGAATTTATAGTCATTGCATATCGGGGATCCTTTATGCATCTCGTCCCTTGGCGATATTGCGGTGTGTGCCTACACTCCTCTCGGTGCACTCTAGGCCAATGGTTCTCAAACTTTTTTCGCTCGCGGCGCGCCATTGTCCGCCGCGAAAAGGCTTCGCGCGCGTCGGTGCGCGTTCTATCGAAAACGCGGATTATTTCACCGAGTATCGAACGCCGCGCATTTGATTGCGCAACAAAAATAAAGGAATTATTTGCGCGTCAAAAAACGAAAATCAGAAAAATCAATTTTTTTTCTCGCAATCGCGACAACGCAACGTCGCGAATTTTCACGAGATGTAAAGTGAATCTTTTGCGGCACAAACGCGTATTCTTTGAGAATCACTGCTCCAGGCATTACGGAGAGTACAGTATGCGCCTATAATCTCTCGGCTTTTTTTTCACGCGCGTGTGATGACACCCACGTGGTCGTCTCTCGACTCCGCTTCGCGCGCGCGCACGCGTGCGATTTGCGCATAGAGCCACCGCGCCAATATCTATATGGCCGCAACCTTTCTCCTCTCGTGTGCTAATCAATCCGTGTGCTTCCTACGCTTTTCAATTACGTAACCGCCGGCATTGTGAACCTCGCGCACGAAAATTTAAAAAGGCGAAATCAAGAATCCGTGCCTCGCATTCCGCGAACCACCGCGAGCGCGTATACGCGCGTTACGACGCGCGATTCTCGCGTATATCAATATATATATATATATATATGTACATATACGTTGCAAACTGCGGCTGCCGTGTGTCTTATAATAATATCTCATATTCCCTCAATGACATTTGCGGATTTACTTTCAATTCCACATAGGATTGACTGTCGAAACGCCGCGTAACTATATGTGTGTGTTAGCGCGTTTCAACCGGAGGCGGATCAAATCGCCTTCGGAACGAATTCGACTCGAGAGAGAGAAAGAGATGTTCAATTTGCAAGATATATAATTAATTAGAAGTGTATTATATTGACATATACGTATAGAAAGCGATCGCGCTGAAACACTCGCTCGCGATCCGCTATTTCACACCTCTCGATCTCTCGGCCAGATACGTCCGTCAATTCTCGAACGCGCGACGCGTGTGTGAATTTCCTCCCAATACCTCACTAAAACAATACATCTTTTAAAATCCCAACCATCAGGGGCACCGCGCCCACAAATCCGCCTCCGCGTCTCTCCTATTTTTTTCTTTCCACGGAACTTTCATCCATTTTCCGTGCGTGCGTGCGTGCGTGCGTGCGAGCGAGCGCGCGCGCGCGCGGACTCTTGGCTCGGCGCGCGATGGCGCATAGAGAGGATGCGCGCCTATGCACGGGCGGATCCGCGAAGCTGCGCTCTCGCCTCGAGGGGGGCACATTCGCGCGCTCGCACGGGGCACCTTCTCCCGCCAGGTACACCCGTGTTCACCCGGACGCACACGCGCGGCTCCACTCATGCATATACAAAGTGTATCCAAGTGTTCGTGCGTACACATATTCACAGAGCCACAGACATACACACACACATTACGTATACAATCGTCTGTTTCCTTCTTGTGCGCTCGACCGGCCGCAACATCGCCGCCGCCACTGGCCGTCAATGCTCGTGGTGGTTCGTCGGGGCCCCGGCGCGGCCCGAGTAGCAAGTCACCTCCGCTCACCTCGGTGGAGCGCAGCGCGCGCGTTCGACTTCAGTCTGCGCTCGACGCGAGTCGTGCAGTACGGGAACGCGCGCACCAGGAGGAAGGCACTCAAGCGGAGACATAGACAGACGACGACGAGAGGCGGGCCGGCCTGGCTGTCGCGCGCGTCCGAGAGACACTCTTGTGTACGCACGCACGCACGCACGCGGCTCCGCTCTGCTCCGATAAATCCGCGTGCGCGTAAATAAACACACACGGGCTCTCGGGAGTAGCGTGAGAGAGGCGGACACACGTGACATACGGAATTATATCGCGCGCGCGCGCGATATGTTGAAAGAGATATAATACAGTAGATCGGAGACGCGATCAAGACCGAGATCGACGTGATCGGTGAGCAGTGAGATCGGCGATCGAAGAGAACGGGATCTCGGAGTTATATATATATATATACATATATATATATATATATATTAGAAAAGGAGTATTTGGGAAAACAATCGAAGCGACACGCCGAGGATTAGAAGAGACTGGGAGAACGAAGAAGAGGAAGAGAAGAGATCGTCACAGTGTGAGTGCGAATAATCTGGAGGATTTTCTTGAGCGGCCAAGCTGCGCAGGAACGGAACGCGGTATTATGTCACACTCCCACGCGAGCGACGGTCGCCGCTGCCGTTTCTGCCGCCGTCGCTGCTGCTGCTGCTGCTGCGAGGCCCAACAACGTCCTCAGCATCGCTTGACATTTCTGTGGGCCGCGCTTACCGCGTGACGGATTCACGCACGCGAGCATCATCGCGGATGTTACACACGCTCCCGATTCTGATGTGTCGATGATAGCAATCGCGCCGTGTCATTCTAATCTGTAATCTTTATTATACGCGCGCGACGAACGTTTTCCTCAAGTGTTTTCCCGTGATGTAAGAGCGCCGATAATAAATTCGCGCCTAACAAGTGACTCCTCCGATCTTTATTTTTTAGTGATCATCGTTGAAAAAGTCGCGCCGCGCGGTCGAACGCGCGCCCACGCGTACGCGCACGCGTAATAAACGTTCGATTCGTGTTTCCGGTGTTTCGAGCCGACGGCTCGTTCAGGAATTCTCACGCTGCGACAGCCCGTAGGAGGAAAGGACCGAAAGGTAAACGGAGAAGAGAGAAAAAAGTCATTTGGCGGCGCGTATAGCGCGCGCGTTTTCCACGGAGCGAAACACAATCGCGCAAGCGTCCGTCGTCGTCGTCGTCGTCGTCGTGCAAGCGGCGCGGCGGTGTCACGTATCGGTATGGCACGCGATACGACTCCGCTTGGACTCCGCTCGACACCGCCCGCGCGCGTATCGGCTCGGCTTGTCTCGTCTCGTCCCGGCTCGGCTCGGATCGATCGTGACGCCGGGGTATGAAATCGGTAATGAGCTGTAAATCTCCGGCGTGTACATCGGACCGCGTGTGCGGGTGAGTCACACGTCACGGATACCGCCGACGATACTTGCCGACGCAAATGTGTGCGCACTCGTGCATACACACACACACACACACACACAAACACATATATACATATATATATATGCGCGTACGCGTATAATATACGTAGACGGCACCTTCCTCGGCGTATTCTTTTCCCTTCGGTAGAAAATCGAAGGAAAGGATAATAAGCGAGAAATACACTCTCTCTTACCCGCCGGCCGGTTCCGTGGTTGGCCGCGCGCGCGTGGGCGTAAACAAGAGAGAAAGAGAGAAAAACGATCAAGCAGATGGCGAAAGAAGGGTTACAAGAGCGAGAAAGAGAGACGAGCATAGAGAAGCGAGCAGAGAGTCGATTTTCTGAAAAAAAAAAAAAAAAATCGATGGTGAAACCTTCGTTAACGTTCGGTTTAGACCGCGTGTGCGCCGTCTTGCGTATTCGCGTGCCTTTTCCATCGCTCGCGGGAGAGATAATCCGCGGTGTCGGCCGGATCGATTCGACTGGAAAAAACATCGGAATACACGACGATCGACGTCGTGAGACAAAAAGAAGAGAGAAATAATAAATCGAAAATATAAATCTCTGATCTCCGTTGAAATCGATTTTCGCGCGTCGTTCGCAATTTATCGAGAAGAAGCGACACGCGGTAACGGGATTTTATTCAATTTTGATTTTACGAAATAATGACGCGAGAAAGATAATCCGGCATTAGGAAGAATAGAACGATTAATTACTGCGATTGGGGCTCGCGTCTCGGTGAGATCGCGCGCGCTCACGTCGATTCGCTGACGAAGCAGAATCGTTCTCGTGTGATTATATATGCCAATGACTTCTGAAAAACTCTCTATGGAATCGCGATCGATGCGCGGATATCGTTTTACCTCGTGTCGCGTATCTAAACGTGAAAGCAAATCGCGAGATCGAGAAAACATATATTTATATGCGTGGAAGACGCGGCGCGCGTCACGCTATTTCTCAATTATGCGACTAATAATAGTCCGGTACATGTCTGACACATGCAGGAATTCGACAATTACGTCCCAACTCGCATCTATAAAAGTTGCGAGTTGTTATTACACGAGCCGAAAGATCGCCGTTGAAAAGAAAAGATCTTCGGATAGATTTGTTACTTCGACAACGGTGACAAAATTTTTGTCCGAACAAATTTCTCTAGTTTTTACTTAACCTTTATAATTGTCTATATGCAGATTAACGGAGCGTGTGTTCGTTTACTTTTAAAATAACACACTCTGCAAAGTTTGTCCGTCAAAATATTCGTTCGACAATTTTTTCGGTCCAATTACAACGCCGATAAATTGCGCGTTCGTCGTAATTCGCGGTATCAATTTTCAGACATTTCATCGTTTTACGATAATAAATACACCCACAGCGAAGACCCACGCCGCGGAGATATAAATCAGAATTGACAAGTCCGGAGACCAGATCAACCTCTCGTTGCGACGAGTCGGATCGTTGCGCCACGCAAAACGCGACGTTTGCGCGATTTCGTCTGTACGGACCGGTAATCATCGTTCTTTCAGCGCTATCTTCGCCGCCTCTTCGGATCACGCGCAAAACGGCCGGGGCGATCGCCGCAGAAAAAGACCGACGCGATTACATTAGAAAGTATGCCGTAATATTGATTTATACCTCGCCGATTTATCGAGAGATATATCCTTAAGTGCGTCGCGCGCGCGGGTAATCGCGCGCTCATTACGAGGCGCACGTCCGTCGTGTTTACGCGCGCGCGTTGTGCGCGCCTTCCCCGTTAGAGTAAGTACGTACGTACGTACGTACTAACGCAATACGGAGATGCGTATCACGGGAGAGACAACGCGAGGGGATAAAAGAACACAAGAAGAAGCGACGCGAACACGTCGCGGCGGACGAAAACAAGCGGCGTAGAAACTAATAATTTAGCGATTTTTTTTCAAGCGCCTCTCGCCATTTCGTTGTCGTTGCGCGCGCCAACGCGCGCGCATTCCTCTTGGCTTTTCATGGCATCGACACATCGGCATCCTCGGCGCGACAGCGAACGAACGAACATCAATACGCGTCTCGTATCGATCTGGCATTATGATGATTATTATTATTATTGCGTTATGCGTCTTCTCGCATGTGTATGTGTGTGTGTGTATGCATCTGTACGTAAGCGCGGATTGAGACCTTATAGCGACGCGCTTTCGCGTGCGTATACACGCGACTTTATGATTTCGTCGCGCGCATATGCGCGCTTATAGATCTCCGTCGGCGAATAACGCACACACCGCGCGCGCACATTGTGCCGTTCAACCTGCTGCGGTGTGTTTTATCGCGGTGTTTCTCTCGCTCTCCGCGAACGACTGGAGTATATTCGTTCGCGCTCCAATGAAAGTCTCATTTCTTTGCCTCGTATTTATCGCGTCGAATCGTTCGCGCGCGAAGTTACAGCTGACACGCGCGCGTTTCGTATCTCTAATTAACGGCGATAAGATTCGCGGATCTTTAATCTCGATCCGAAGGTAAGAGAGAGAAACGCTCTGTGGAAAGTTCTCCGATTACGTTTATCGGTTGCCGGATAATCGAGCGCGGTACGCGAACGTAATGAGCTCGCGGAGTATATCGGGTTTCAAATAAGTTTCGGTGTTAAGACGTTTCTCCTATAACGTTAACGTTCCGCGCTTTAATTGCGAGCGAGAGCCTCCGCGAAGCGAGAAACGCGGCGGGTTTTTTTTTACCGTTTCGCGCGCGCCCAAGCCCCGGATAACTCGGCGGTAATTTACTGGCGATTGGTCGCTTTGCTACGATATCGCGCCGGTTTACCGGGTCGTGATTAACGTCCCGATCGCTTAAACGGCTTGAATATACGACGTTGTGTCTCAACCCAGTAGTCGACGATTAATCCCGTCTGGAAATTAAAACTATATACGTTTCTCCCCCTCACGTTGGTTCTCGACGGCGACCGACCGACGTGTGTGTGTCGCGAGTCGAATTTATCAACGGTAAATTAGACGACGGGACGGGTCCGTTCCGCGCCGGAGATTCAGTTAACGTTGGGATATTTACACAAGTTACGCCGGCGCGAATTCCCCTCGATAGAGAGCACGTATGGTACTCTCGTTCGTTCGTTGTCGTACGTTCGAGTCGGTTATCGGCGATAAAAGAGACCTTCGCGTAATAGGACCGCGTTAGCGCGATTTCGCTAACGTGAAATATTATACGTTTATTGAGTGCTACGTATATAAATTCTTGGCTCCAAACAGTTTTAAATAGAAAAGTAAAAGACGCAAACTTAAATGACACTTTGTAGAGATTATACGTTGAGTTTGTGTTTTGGTTTTACGCATATTAGAATATTTTGATAGTATATTTGTTATTATTATATTTCTCTTGTTTTTTTTTTTTTAACTAAATATCAACGATATTAATTAATTTAAATATATTAACGTTACACGTACACGTACACGTACACGTACGCACTCAGACGCATCCGTCGAATGTGTCTGACCCGCGCGATCAAATTCTTGTCACTCATTTTCTCGATCACGAGCGAACAAATTGCGATTCGATGATCATTTTCGTGCGCGGCGAGTAACTCACGCCCGAGTGATTACAGTCATTTCATAGATATACCTTTAACACGACGGTTATTAACGCTCAATCGCCGATTGGCGAGGAATGGGAAGCCTGCGATCGGTATCTGTTCGCGATCCAGATGCCGATCGTTATCCAACGCGACTTTTCGAGCCCTTCGATTACGCGAGCTCTCCTCACTCGACTCGTTTGCTCTGATCAAGGGAAAATTAAATGGACACTTTCATTAATTTTTTACCGCGCATTTAGATCGAGAGAGGAGTTACGTAACAAGAGATTTACTTTGTTCCGTTACACTAGGATACTCGACAGCGCGATTTTGAAAACAGTCCGACGAAGATTAATTTAGCAATTTACAAATTAACATTGCATTTCAATTATTAGTATTTTTCGAGTCGAATTATTTCGCACAGTGACCAAACAAGTTTCCGTTGTGTTTTTTCTTCTTATCGATAATCTTTAATATTTATTTTTTATTTCGTTTCCGCTCGGCGAACGACGATTCACCTCGAGAATCCACTTTAAATTCATAACAAGTCATCAGACATGCAGGTCGCAAGGTGTCTTTTTTTTTTTTTTTAACAACACGCGCCGTCTAAATACGTATATACGCATCATTAAACAGTCAAGTAAATGTGCTGATTTTTCTGATTAACAGGCGACGCGCGTGCACTCGAACGGAGACACCGCCGGAGGAGATCGCGCGGATTTCGCGCTCGGACTGCGCGCCGTCCGACAGGACGACGATGCGCATTTCGCATTTCGTCGTCGTCGTCGTCGCGTGTGAGTGTCGTTCTTACGCGTTCATCCCTCGTTGTATCACGCGGGTGTGCGAGTGAATTTCCTGCGAGGAGTAAGAGCAAAACAATCGGAGAGGGATAAGCAAAGAGGGAAAAGGAGCGAGGGGTGAGAGGGAGAGCGAGTAGTGCATCAACGCGTGTGAAATGGATGGTACGCCAAAGAAAAGCGAAGCAGTGCTAATATATGGATGCCCATGGGTGGAACTTGGCCGAAATGTGCCAGCGCTATCATCACGCTATACCGGCGACAGCGGCGGCGCAGAATTCCTCGCCAGCTAGGGATCTCTCGGCCGCTGCCATCGCGCAGGGCTTGTCAACCGCCACGCACATCGATCAAGCCAACTCATCTTATTCTCACTACACGTAAGATCATTATTCTGTGTGCATTTTTCTTTTTTTTCTCTCTCTCTTTCTCTCTCTCTCTCTCATATTTATTTCATGAACCCGCAGCTCGCAACCAATTTGACGCGAGACGTGTGTGTTTCGGGGGCGAGCACACGTCATCGTCAAATCTTTCGCTTTCTCGCGGTTCCAGGCCTCTTTCGTAAGATTCGTCACAGCGGGTAAACGTTAATAAAAGAGAGAAAGCGAGAGAAAAAGAGAGAGAGAGAGAGGATCGGCGAGCCCGCATTTTCGGAGGAGGGGGTGCGCGCGTGGCCGGGCCCCGTATATCGCGAGCTTATCGCCGAGGCCCCGGGTCCCCGGAGCCCCGTTCTCAATTGTATTGTATATATTAATAACGATACGGCGAATTAGGGATAAGTATACGACCGCGCGGTCAGGTCCCGGTAATCCTGTTATTAGCGCGGCGATTAGGGGAAGATGATCCCCGGGCAAATTGCAGGGGCGTGTACCGCGCGTGTTTGGTTAACATAATCGCCAATCGCTATCGCAGATCCGCGCGAGTCCCTCTCTCGGGACGAAGAAGAGGGCGCGATACATTCGAGGCGATGGAGATGCGTTTCTCTCTCAACCCCCTCGCTCGGGGATCGAGCGCGCGCGCGTCGTGTTTCCCTCCTTTCTAAAATTTTCTCTTACTTCTCTTTCTCTCGTTCTCTTCGTCTCACCCCTTTGTGTCCTCGTGAGGATCTCGGTGTGTGTTGGAAATCCATTAAATTGCAGTTTACGCTCGAGATTCAATGTTTCACTATCATTACGTCGTACACTGCGAAAGGCAAAGAAGATAAAAGTGATTCCCTTTCCCTCTCTGTCTCTCTCTCTCTTTCTCTCTTTCACCTATTCCATCTTCCTTCGGACGGACCCTTTGGGACTGTTAAGGAGGAGGTTGGGAAAATAGCATGCGCACTGCATATACGCGGCGTGCGTTTCTAACGTATCGTATAATTTCAGCTATTTTTTATCTCGTTTGCCCGCAGTCTTATTTGCTTGTTGCTTTCTTCTTGCGGCGATATATTGCGGGATGCTGCGAAATTTTCATGTTTGACATTCAAACAAAGCTCGCCGTGTGTTTGTAAAATCGTCGAGATTTGATGAAAGACAAAGACACGTCACGAGTTTGAAAAAAAGACAAAAATCTAGGTCGTTAAATGTTCTATGTGTGCGTTAAAAAATGTTTTTATAATAAATTTTTAATTTTTAATTTAATCTTAATGTTAATTTAATTTGAATGTGATACTTTTTAAATTTATTTATGTGATTGAAAAGAGAGAGAAACGTGTCAAGAAATCTGCGTGAAAAAGTACGTCGCAACGACGGTAGAGATTTTTCGACCGCGGTGCTTCCTGACGACAAAAATCAGCCCCATTAAAAATGGTTCCGTCCGGTTCCATCCGCTGCTCTTAGCCGTCGCACGGATCGCGGACCATGTCACGTTACGTATTTCATACGTGTAATGCATGCACGCGAGATATCTTAGATATTCCAAGGGATTTTACGCAAAACTTGAGCAAAAAACTCGGAAAATGTTTTCCTCAACTTACAATGAATTTATAGATAAGCTTTGATTTATCGAAATCTTTAATCACAAATATATTTTGCAATATTTTATGGATTTTTTGAATGATAATTTTCTTAAACCAATTTTCTTTCCGCGTTTTCCTATAACAACCGCGGCTTCTGTGCAAACTCCATATTCAAGAATCTTCGCGAGTTCGTTTTTAAACGTCGCGACATGCAATTCTGTAATAAGTACTGCACCGATACGTGCTTGCTTGCAGATTGATTCTCGTGTTTTTACGAGGCTGGATAAAAATTTCCAATCGACTCGCGAGAGCGATCTGAAATCTGGTTTCTCCGCGGGACGCATTAATGCATGCTCTTTCGTCCCGCAATGTTTTAGAAATATCGAGTTTAAAATCCGTCCGAGCTTCGTCTACAGCGCGCGTTTCTTCTTCATCAACGAGATGAAACATCAGAACAATCAGCTGTTAATTAAAACCATCAGTCACGCTCGTTTCGAATATAAATCCCACGCCGCGCGCATTTTAATTTGAGGATGGAAACGGAACTCATGTCACGAATCGAAAACTATCGTTCTCTCGCGGCGTGTGATAAGAATTAATATCCCGACGCGATTGTGTGTCATCGTTCACTCGATGCCGCGGAGCAAGCTCAATTTGCAAACATCGATTATATCGACGAAACGTCAATAATTCCTCGAACGACACGCTATACCACGCCACCGACACCACCTCGGTTTTTCTTGGTATTCCCGGCTAGAAATAGTTAAAGTGCCCTCTTCGAAAGTCGTTGCTGACTTGTAACGCCGAAGGCGTTGGACTTTCCGCGCAAATTTCAAGAGGGATTTTCAGATCTTTTTTTTTTTTGTATCACGGAAAATGTTAAAAGTTGAAGAGTCGTCGTTGTCGTGCGAGCGCGATGATGACGTCGCGCCTGGTGTGACCTCTCGCGTGGTGTGTACGTCGTCGCATTGACAACCTCGCGATTTCTGCATTTGCGGTGACTCAGATCGATGACTTGACGATTAAGCACCGACCGGCAGGTAATTACGGATTAACTGCTATATATCGTAATTATATCGGCCGAGATATCTCTCTGCGCGACGTTCACGATACGCAAAAACATAAGACCGATCAGACTCATTCCGTCTCGTTTTTGTCCAAAAGTTTGTCCCGAAACAGCGGTTTTTCTTCCACGTACGAAGCAATTTTTTTTATCGCGCTTCGGTTCTAAACGCTCGCCGTTGTTGCTTCGCAGCGAGGACAAAGGAAAACATTACGGAATAATTTAATCATATTTACATCGTAAACTTAACGGAAATTGCGGCAATATAAAATGAACTTCAACGACACTCGTAAGTCACTTATGTGACGCCGAATCGAACCTTTGATTTTTGATTCGCGAGCGTGTCACACACATGATACACGTACGCGTATGTATCTGTACAATATAAGAACGCGCGCGAATTACGCTCGCGCGGTGTATTTCTTCGTCGCGATTTTAGAACGATCATAAATCCGCGGCGCGTTAAACGTTACAATGGCGTACTATAGTCGGCTCTATCGGTGAATCGGAACTAATTTGCGGCCACGTAAATTTGCATCGATGAAAACAATGGTCATGTGGATTAAAGAATTGAGACAATTAAATGTCTTCGATGTCGGCGGAAACATTACTTCTGTCATTTCATCGAGAGACACATGAATTATCCGAATGACAATTTTGCTTTAAATTGTCATCGACAAGTCGTAATTTATTTATTTTTTTTTTTGCTTACTGATGATGTAAATTTTTGTTTTGCGCATTTTTACTGCGTTGAAAATCAAAGAAAAGAAACGTACGTGTCCGCGCGCGCGCACGGAATTTTTTTGCGGGAGATGCGAGAGAATCGTGCCCCGTTATGTTTGCCTCGACACAGTTCCGCAATTAACGCCGCACACGTATATATTCGTGCGATGAAGCGGCCGTTTTATCCTCCTTCGAGGTTTAGCCTGGGAATTTTCGTCGCTCGACGTTACATATCTCCGGTCGTATCGCGGCGGCGGCGGCGGCGGCGGCACCTCTCTTTCCGAGGAGAGCGCGTGTAGAAATCTTCGATTCTTCCTTACTCGGTCGCAGGAAGTCGTACGTAATGGGAGGCCCCGCCGTTTGTGCTCTCTGAGGTCAGAGAAGGTATGTATGTATACGAGAGACGGGATATACCTACACACACACACACACACATACACACAGAAAAAGAGAGATACACTGACGGACGACAGACGGACGCGGGCACCGACTTTTGCGGCGTCCGTTCCGCAGTCTTAAACAACCCGTAAAGGTTTCGGGGATGCGCTTTCTTCGTTCACAAATCTGAAACGCGCCGGAGCGTTAGTAGTGCAGAGGTGAGCGGCTGGGGTCGTCACTTCCGCTTATCAACCGAACCGCATTGGGCATTCGATTTAAAAGTTTAATCAGGAGCTTATAAAATTACCGTCTCCTCGATCGCGCTGGCGATCCTCGTCAATGACGTCAAAAACTTTCGTCGTGCGCAATTTCTTGCGATAAAAAGTTAAGCGATCGATATGTTCACGCCATACATACGCGGTCACGAGCGTGTTTCTCAAACAAGTTATGTGTCTTTATATAAATTATTATTGTTAAAATATTGATCTGTCCGGTATATATAATTTACGTGTGAGAAAATATCGGACCGTAAACGGAACCGCGGAACTGTGTCTCACGTTACATGTAAAGCAAAAATTCGCGATTATTATTATTGTTTCATATCATTATTAATATCGCGGGTGTTATAAGCGCGCGTTGGCTTTCGAACACACCTCTCGGTGTGATTTATTCGCGTACGTGGCGCGTGATTGGCTCCACGCGCGCATATCGCGCATCGACGCGAATACAGATCGATTCCACCCACGTTTGCGTATATACGCGACGACGACGACGACGACGACGAGGACGACGACGACGACGAGGACGACGACGACGACGAGGACGACGACGGACGACGAGACGTTGCGCGTACGTAAACACGCGATTGTGCGCGTGTGTTATTTCGCCGCCTTTATGCGACTGTACCGCGTCGCGTCGTCGAGCAATGCAAAAAGGGTGTGTTCGCATCGGCGCGATTATTTGAATAAAATGCGTCGTCGTTGTCGTCGTCTACGTCAGCGCGTTTCTCTCATTCTCTCTTTATCTCTCTCTCTCTCGCGCGCGCGCGCGAGAGGCTTTCTCCGATTTTTTTTCTCTTGTTTTCGATCTCCTCGGGCTCTCCTGCGGTAAAAAAAGGCGAGGAAGGAGAGGGAAGGAATAATTTACTCGGGGAAACAAGTGTGTCGTTTGACGAGGAGAACGACTTGACTGTGATGCCGCGCGGTGCCCCGGTTGCTCAGGCCTGTGTTGCTGTGTGTGCCGAACCGTGCCGAAGGAGACGCACACACCGGGCCTCTCCTTTCCCTTCTTCTCGAAGAAGAGGAGCTCCCCCGGAGGAGATTCATGAGGCTCAACGGACATGCCGATTTAGAGGATCGCCCCGCGGTTGTTGTTCTTTGTCTCCCCGCTCGGCCGAGTCTGACGTGCGTACATATAGCGGTGTGTGTGGTTGCTGGTCTGCTGCTTATTCGCAGCTTGAGCTATTTGTAATATGGTGAGACGGCGCGTGTGGAAGGATAACTGTCGCTTTTCCTTGACACGCTTTGCGGAACGTCACGTTATACGATTCTCTTTGAATATTCCTATTGTTTGTTATTAATATTCGGGTTTCTTTGTTTATACGAAGGGAAGCCCGCACGTGTATGAGGAAAAGCTCTCGACTTTTGTGTATGTTTTTACAGATCGGAGATCGAGGACGTTTGATAGATTGGGGAGGAAGATTGCGCGTTCGTTCGAGTAAACGGTTACAAGCTTCGCACTTCGCTACGGATAGTGCGCGTTACACGAACGATAATTGTAGGATATATATGCAACGATATATTATATGTTACGCGCGCCGATGTGTGGAACGCGTATATAATATAATATATACGCGGAAATTGCACTAACTAGACTGTGTAATAGCGTGAATCCTTGGTGCTCGCCCATATTTTGTTGCGAACGATATGGATCGACGGGATCGCGCGCTTTCGCGGTTTGCCACGCAGACCACGTACAAATGCGAAATTTGTCGTCGCGCGACAAAGCCTGACAAAGAACGCGGCATTAAGCGCGCAACATTCGCCGATGCATCAGCGTCCGACGATGACTCCTGGCGAATTAATATTTTCAAAACGACGCGGGCGCTCATTGCATTCGCGGTTGGAGACCGCTTCCTCTCCTATATACGCTCTCGCGGTGCAATCACCCCACATGAATCATTAAAGAAACAATGCTGAAGGCAGTGGCGTATCTATCATACGCGTGGGTGGCGCAGCTGCATCGACGCGGGCGAAAGCCGGGGAATCCTGGCCGCGGGTTTAATGGCTTTTAATTTCGTATCGTATTTGGTATCGCCGTGAGTTTCGGTATACGGGGTTTTTTTTTTTTTTTATCGGGAGGGAGAGGACGTCGGGAAGCATAACCTTCGCGAGGCCAGCGATGGAGAACGCGTTCTTTCTCCGTCGACGCGAGCGCGAGTCGCGCGCGAAGGAGAACGTGTGTTCTCAAACCAAAAAAAAAAAAAAAATCAAAAGAAACAAAAACAACAACACCGCAAGCACATAGACGTTTTATGATACTTCGTTAACAATTCTAATGTTCCGTGTACACACATTGTATTTCCAACTTTCGAATAAAGTATCGGATTTCAACGTGAAACGCGGAAAGACGCTGCGGTTTCACATCGGCCACGCGACGGGACGTACGTGCAACACGTAACTCTCGGACTAGTTTCTCGGGCTGTGGTGGATATATGTAAAAGGTGACAAAAGAAACGCGCGCTAGACGCGAGTAGGTTTATTGAATGAGAAATGCCGCGCGGTATGGTTTTTTTTTTTTGTTCCCGTCGCGGCATCTCCTCGCAAACCGAATGAAACAATGGCTATTATATGGAACACTCGCGCGCACGTATATGTATATATATATATATATATGTATAATATATATAGCTACATATACATTCGCGAAATGCTCTACGTACTTAAAAAACGTGTGCATTACATATGTCGCGGCGTTTTACTTTAGGACCTCCACGTGTGTGTAATCGTTTGCGGAAGAAGAGTCACACGTGTGTATGCGCGCGTGTGTGTGTGTATATATACAAAATAGGCTTTCGTGCGCGTGCGCACAGACAGCTGTTCGTACTATTATACCCGGTCGCATAATGCCTTAAGGACAATCGTGGGAATTCCATTAAGTGGCCTTGAATGGTTCATTCATGTCGATCAACTCTTTTCCTAACGGAACGGTTGACAGATCAATCGGCTGCGCCGCGCATCGGCACCGAGAAACGACCCACTCGGGATTTCACTCGCACCGGAGACAGAGAGAGAAAGAGAGAGAAAGAGAGAAACGCCCCGAAGTCAATTACTATCGCGCACCCCGTGTGTGATACGGAATCGATCTCTCACGCCGCTCTCCGCGATCATCGATCGGTATGCCTTGCGCTATCGTCCCGTCGGAAATTGAACGCCGCGTCGTTCGAATCAATCCCGCGACAACTCCCTTGCAACTCGGTCGCTGCTTATCGCCCTTCTCGGAGAATCGACTGCGTGCGAGTTTATTAACTGCGCTTTTTCATCGAGCCAAAGGCGATCTCTCGCACGTTCTCGGCGAAATTAGTTTGTAAAAAATGTAAGAATCAAAATGACCTTGTATGTATTTTTATTAAATCATTCTCGAATGTTGTGTTTAATGGTTGAGAACTCTTACAACATGAGATTATTTATCTGTGTATCCGTTCTAACAAGTAAGATAAATATTTTCCGTCCTTGCTATATTGACAAATTCAAACAACAAAATAATAACTAACGATTAAAAATATGATATTGAAAAGCAAACAGAAGGTCCGCATTTGCCGAGATGAGAGAAAAGACGCCTGAAAAGATTATTACGTGCTCCAATACAGAGTATCGACAATCATCGCGTATATAAGTTTTTATATTTAATTAATTAAACTGAATATATTTTATAACACAAATTGTTTCTCTTATTTATATAAATTCGAACCTGAGAGGATCCTAGAAGAGAATATGTTTGTTTCATTTAATCCAGTAAAGAGAATCAAAATTTGTCGAAACGTCATTCGCAATTGTTGCGCAACAAATAAGAATATTCTAAATAATGGTAATTTAGATTTTACTTTTTAAAATATGTAAAAACTCGCTCGCAATATAAACAATAAATAATAATAAAATCCAATTTTTGAGAACTATAGGAAATTATTTATTTAGTAAAAGTTAAAAACAAACAATATATTGCAATGATAATTTAGTATAATAGAATATATACGTTTCGACTCTACTTGAGTCTTTTTCAATACAAAAATATATATTATAGTCATCGGTATCGCATCAATAAAAATAACAAAAATGTACAGGAACACATGATATTTTTTTGAATGCAGAGGAACATGGAAGTTTTTTTTTATTTTTGCAGGATGCTGGATAATTATGACAGGGGTGAGGTGACACCACCACCGGTGAGCAGTTACGGCGGCTCTTCCGGACTTCTGGCGCTCCATTCTTCGCTTTATGCGACTCCCACGTCGAGGGCCTACGACATCGATTCCGGGATTGACGGCAACGACAACTCGATGCCCATCGACACCCAAATCATTTCGGTACGCATCCGGTTTCGATTTCCTTTGCGGAAAAACTGCCTGTTTGTTCTCGAATAGATGCTTGAATAGATTCTCGCGTTTCAGTTTGACGAGCGTGCAGTTTGTCCGCGCCTTGACCGTTGTAAACACACCTACGTTCTCCGCAGTTGTTCACGACGAGTCGGTACATATAGGCCGCGCGCGCGCGCGCGCGCTCACGCGGTCTATTTGTACGGAGACGAATGCACGAAAGTAAAGTCGAGTGAAACAATGGCGGAGGTACCGATAGCAAGATCGCCACGTGCCGCGCGCGGGAACGCGATCGACTCATTAATCTCGCGTTTCGTCTTGTCGTTAGTCGTTGCACGTATTCGCCACCCCGTCCCCGTCTCCCCTCCCGTGACGTTATCGAACTAAAATAACTATCTATTGTTCGGCACATCGAGCGCAATAAAATATCCTTAATATCTCAATCGACGCTTCTCTCGTCCTTGTATTTCTCGAGTTATGCGCTTACTTCTCTCTTAGGATTTGCACGAAATTTCCCATGGGAAAAACAAAAAAAAAACAAACCACTTTCCTCGCACACATGGAACGCATCGAATGCGCATTGTAATACTAAGCCCCAGGTTTCCCGGTGGATTTTACGAAACAATGTGTTTCTTGAAAGCAGATACCGAACATGCTGAGCGGTCCTGCGCAACAACGACTGGAGGACATGCCCTGGCTGGCTTCTGGCCCGTCGTTGGAATATCAGCAGGGCATCTCGTCGATTCCCGCGGGAGTGAAGATGTGCCATTCCGGCGGCGGCACCATTCAGAGAAGCATCAAGGAGCAACGAATACGTCGACCGATGAACGCGTTCATGGTCTGGGCAAAGGTCGAGCGCAAGAAATTGGCCGACGAGAATCCCGATCTTCACAATGCCGATCTCAGCAAGATGCTCGGTGAGTGATGCGCGCGAGATATTTCTCCTCCTTGTGAGGCTTCGACGTGGAGAGAGAGAGAGAGAGAGAGAGCTTTTGTAAGTGTTCGAAACGTCGTCTAACAATAAGTTAATTTTCTAAACGGCAAAGAGTGCGAAGTCGCGGAGACGAGACACGCGCGCGCGTATGAGAATAATATTTTGCAACAAGAGACCTTTCTTCTTATTTATTAATTGGCCTAGAAATCTTCCACAGACAACACGCAATCTGTGAATGAATTAAAGAAGAACAAATTGTATATTTAACAATCGTTGAAGAATAACACGCATTTTCATCGCGGTGATGAATAAATTCTCATGACTCGCTGGAAACCAACACTTTTAATCAAATTGTAATACGTATTCAATATTCCGTGAATGAACGGATTAAATGATTTATTTATAAATCATATTGTGTATATTTGTAATATAAAACGCAAATTCAACATCTCAATTATCGGGAAACTGTTGGACTGAATAAATATGCGAAAAGAAGATTTCTATTCTCCGGGGCGCGGCGCGCAAGAGATCAGGACGCGAGATTGCGCGCGATCTCTCGTCTCTTTTTAAAAAATACGTGTACGAGTGGAAACAATGTTGGTTTCTCGCGGAAAAGTGGCTTTTCCGCCGACTCGGCTGGGAATAAGAAAGCAGGAAAAATCTTTCTCGCGCGCGTTATCATTAAATTGTAATTGCATCTCGGGCGAATGAAATTAATTTAATTACACATCAGAATCCAGGTGTGTGTATGTGTGTGTGTGTGTGTGGATGTTCGACGGGACGAGGAGAAAGGTGAGAGTTCGCTCGTGGATTACGTACGAGAAAAAAAAATAGCCGCGACTCGTTTAACCAGCTGTCGCGCAAACGCATACAAAATAGTTTTCGTATGAACTTTGCGTCTGACTTTTAAACAAATTAAGTTCTCGGAGTCAGTTTCCGGGTCAATTATTTATATATATCGTGTATATATTTTGTGAGTGGAACAACCGCGAGTGAGAAGCACCAACGTTTTCCGTTATCGGAAACTTCACTCGTCGAAAGCCGCAGGTAGCCGAGTATAAGTTTCCACGAGAGTACCTTCGCGAATGTAACTCGCGGCGTGTCTCAGTCGTATCGGCAATCACCTGTGCGTGATCGAGATAAGGAAATCGTTTCCTTATCGCGCGCTCGGTCGAGTTCCCCTTGTCAATCTGGTTCTGATCGCTGCATTATCGTCGGCGATTCTCGAACACAACACAACGATCCCCCGGAAGACGACGCGAGCTTGCCTATATATCAACTGCGGTAGTGCGCATTGCGCATTTGTACATATGTACTACGCGTGTGCGCAAACCGTCGATTTCACGGAAAGTAAAACGCGTTTTCAGAGCGGCGACGGGCGGTTTTGCGGTTTTCCTTTTCCTTCGCCTCCCTCGTCGCGTTTGGCGTGTCTCTTCCCCAACGTTAAAACCGAGAACCCATCATCCGGACACCTAACGATCTGTCAGCGGTGCGCTCGCGCGCGCGCATGCACGCACGCACGCACGCACGCACGCACGCACGCACGAGGAGCGTTATCGTGGGCAGGCACTACACCTTGAATTATCGGCAATTGGCATCCGCAACGTTATTGGCATTTGAACGATCGCGAGTGGAGCCGTCGTGCAGAAAATTGTAAACTTCTTCGTGTGTTGCCCACCTACTTTTACCTTATACCTTCTACCAGCGTTTTCAACGCGCTCCGTGTGTTGTGCGTGTTTACGCTCGCGCGTGTGCTACGTGCGTGCACACGTGCTCTCCTGCATCTCTCTCTCTTTCTCTCACCTTCTCCCGCTCTTCCCTCTAACACGTCTTTTTTTTTTTCTACATCTTTTCTCTGCTCTCTCACTCGCTCTGTCCTACTCTTGTATACGTGCGTCGTCTCACACCAACGATCAAACTCGTAAATCATCAATCCCTTCCTCTCCCTTGATATATACATCTCTCTCTCTCTCTCTCTCTCTCTCTCTTTCTCTTCCTCGCGCCACTTATCGCGCGGCGCGGAGTAAGGAAAACTCCGTCGGGTTTATCGATCGAACATTAAGCGATCGGCGCGATGTTATTGGCATGACGCGGCTCCGATTACTATGCACGCCGGGTCTTTCGCCGCCCCCACTTTCCCCTCGTCTTCTTTTTTCTTTCCAGACATCCTACATATTCATGCGCGTGCTGTGTGTCGATCCGTCCATCCGTCCGTCCGTCCGTCCGTCCGTCTGTATGTCCGTATGCACGTCCGTTAGCTCGACCATCCGCGCGGACACACGCGTGTGTACAGAGACGCGCGCGTGCGAGCGAGCGAGCGTGTTTTGCGTCGGCGAACGCACACGCGCTCATACACGCGGCGGATACAAACATCAACGTACATCATACAAACATACGCGCATATACGCGTGCACACACGAGTTTGGGAATCGTCGTCGTCGTCGTCGTCGTCGTTATTGTTGTTGCCGTTTTCTGTTGTCCATGTGTGAGCAGGCCAAGTAACACAACGTGTGTATATGCCAATGGAGTTCGTGTAGGCACCTTATATCCGGTGACACGCGTGTCCGCGCATCTTTATTAATCGCTCTTCTCAACCGTTATAGTCTCTTCTTTCCCTCGCCGTCTTTAGGGATCCCGTCTGTCAGACATTTAGAAATTAATGCGTTCGCTCGAATCGTCGCGTCTGTCTCTTGTCGCTCCCGCGTCGTTAATTCCGTTATTAATTAACGAAGCTCCGACCGTCCCCGACGGTCCTCGATTCGGCGCGGAGGTTACATGCATTGTATTGTCTTGTCGGATGGTTCTTTGTGAGACGCACACGCGATGCATGTGTGTGTGTGTGTACGCTCGCGCGACGTCATTTATACGGTGCGTCGCGCGCGACGCCACTGCGCCGTGTCGCAGGGGACCACCTACGACAAATGTGGCAGCCCGCAAATAATACCGGGCGTATGTTGTACCACCGGCGACAGCGGAGATACAGGCCTCTAACTGCCAACGCGGTATCGTGGTTTAGTGCCTCTGATTATTTCCCCCTTTTTCTCCCGCGGGAGGTATGTGTGTACATACGCACGGTACGTACATGCGGGATGTGTCTTCGATCGCGAAGAATGCTGAAAAAATACGCTAGAAAAGCGGCCTGAGAAAGCCGCGTTTTCCGACCAACAAATTTTATGCGAAGAGTCTAGTCTTTTGACGCGAGCACTTCAAAGGAATCGTTGGTACAAGGTGGCGAAGTAGTCCGGATTTAATTTCTTAGGTTTTGTATTTGTACATTTTTAACAAAATTTTATTTCTTGCTTGTCTAGATGAAGAGAATTGGTTTGTTCTTTTTCACTCAAAATAAAAGGAATAGAGAAACTCCGAACTAGTGCGACCAGTGAAAAAGAATCAAAATGATAAAAAATTCATGAAGGATGTGTTGTACATAATATCAATTTTCTACGTTTATCGAAAACTATCGTGTGATTGGGAGACGATTCCGGGATCGAATACATCCCGTACGTTCTTTCTTCGGAGAGAGAGAAACGAACACGTTCTCCTCTCATAAAGTATCCGGCTGCCTTCCGTACGCGGCCGATTCGCGACCCTTAAACGACGGATCGGCGTGTATACAGTATCTCACTATAATGGTGCCCGGTGCGGAAGAGCCCGATAACGTCGACCTCGTTGGTCGATTTAAGGGACGCCGGTGTGCTACGCCCGATCGAAAGTTATTGCGGGTGTAGTTACTAGCCACCTCACGCGTTGTTTCTTTCCGTTGGCGAGTTTTTTCGATGTGAACCGTTCGATAATATTTCGAAGATAAGATGCATTCCAACGATTAGATTTTTTTTTGTTTTTTTTGTTTTTTTTTATAAAGAGGAAATTCGATTTTATTATATTTATTGCAATATATGCGGCGCGCCAATGATTATCGCGAACTCCCTCGGGATGTAAAAGTGTCTAAGAGACGCGGGCGTCCGCCATCGTTCGATAATAAATAACGAGGATTAGGATATAATAAACGTAATAAGCCGTACTAAGCTACGGTGACCTTTCCCGATTGTGTAGCCGCGAGGTGGAATAGATCGGTGAAGATTGGCAGCCGATTGAAATTAATATACGTGCGCGGTTAGAAGTGCGTAAAGAACGGTCTGAACTCCGAGGGAAAGGCCCACTTTTCTTAGCTCCTATGTACGTATATCACCTTCCCGCGATACCATCCTCTTCCCCCTACCTCTTCTCCTCCTTCGCCTCTCTCCGTTCCGCTTCTCCTCTCGTCTCCGTCGGGCGGTTCTCGAACAATAGCACCTCGACTGCACGGTGGATGAACTTCTGAGACTGGAATCGGCTCTGCCCACTCTGCAAATTGCGTTTTCGTAAAAATATTCATAAGGGAAAAGAGGTCGGCCGATCTAAACGGCAACCTACATCCTGCTCCGTGCGCGGCTAATAAATGCGAACGGTGAATATATAGGTCCCCCGATTCGCGCGCACGGATTCGCCGTAATGAAAAATAGATCGGTGCGATCGGAGTCAACAGTCACGTCAAGTCAACTCCAGGCGGTGTAAAATATATAATAAAATATACTCTGAAAACTAAGATATGTTTTCATTAAACATATCCCGTAAATGAAACAAAAGCATAATGAGAGAGTTCTTCGCCGTTTTCGAATGTGTTAATTAAACTGTTGTTTCAAAAACTTAATAAATACTACTTAATAAATATCGCAAATAATATCAATTATGTGAACAAGTTCGCTCTCTGTAGTTTGCAGCGATTTATAGAGTATTGATAATCGATAATCGATGTGTCACCCCGAAATACTTCTATCTTCTTTACAATCTTTTCCTCGATACGCGCGCGCTTTAATTTCGCACCGGTCGTGAATCGCCGTCGAAATCGTTCGCAATTTCATTTCTCGTCGTTTACGTCTCGGAATCACGATAAGACCGCGTATATACACCGATGGCTTTTTCGATTCGATTTGATAATGAAGG